ACACACGTTTTCATTCTTGGGGGTCATAGTACCCCCAAGAATTTAAAACTACTTTCACCCCTGAATATGACTGAAAAGTTCCTTTTTTGTAATTCCATCACCAAGTGAAAGACGTTATATAGATTAATAAGACAATGGATGTTTAAACATCTTTATAATTTTTTGAGGCATGAAATGTTAAATTTGTCAAATTTCTTCTAAAACTGTCAGAAATTATAGCAGTTTAGAGAAATAGCTAAACAAGCCCACAGCAGAATATGAGCATGGGAACACTTGCTGTGAATAAAGCTGTGGTGAAATGTGTGCAAAAGTAAACTTCATACTGTCTGAATAACTTCTTGGGAAATGGCCAAATCCTCTCAGTAAAACCATGAGCGATCCAACTCGATTTTCATGAGATTAGTACATAGTTTATATTGGCAAACTATACGTACCAGCACTCAGCAGGTGGTTATGGAGAAGCAGGAAGCAGCCCGCGGTGGCAGTCAGAGTCCAGGTCAGCCGGAGAAGCAGCATGAGGGAGACCAGGGGGAGAAACATCAGAACCAAAATGATTCGATCCGTGCTGCCGAGCCTTCTTCACGTCCATATATTCAGTCCAATTGGAGTGAGATGAGAACCAAACTAACTCATCATCGGGAGCTGTAGCCTGAATTACCACATTAACTATTTAAAAGTGATATATCCTTTAAAATGAAAAAAGCTCGTACTCTCGTACTAGTTCTGGTGGTCAGCAGAGCCCGGTGTGCTGCTGCCGCCTGTGGTCCGTTCCACAGGAACGCGTTCTTCTGAATTACACATTTACCCCAGATAATAAGTTTGCCAACTCTCTAATACACCTCAGTCCGCTTCTGATGTGTCGGGTTTCCGGACTGGCGTAAGTCCACCGGGAGATCAGAGGAGTCGGCTCCGGTGGAAGCTGCTGCTATAGCGGGCATGTTGCGCTTGTTTCCCTGCAGGAAGTTCAGAGAGAACCACTGTTGTTGCTGCTTTTCTGAGACTTCTCTCTCCTCCAGTCCGATGCAAGCCGCTTTATAACTGTCTGTGCCTCTCGCGTCCTGGACTGACGTCACTGTGGTTCACCCTACAGACATGCAGGAGCACAATCTGATCTGACACTACTGGAATATGGACAATATAGATGGTAGGCCATTTTAACATAAATTCGGTTTTACAGCCCTTACATTCCAGATCTCTGAAATTGGTTTATGGCTACACATTTTAGCAATTTAAGACATCTTGAATACAAAATACTTATTTGAGATATATCTAATTACATTCTGACTAGTTGAAATGACATCAGATTTACCATTGACTTGAATGAAGAATTCAATTTATTATATCTACAATTAAATGACTAACCATAAAGTAAATTCAAGATATTTCAATTAGTTGTAGCTCCCATATTGATTTAGTCTTGACTAGTCATAATTCTAATTAAAGATGTCTTGAATGACACCATAATTCAAAATATCTTAAATGTATTTTTAGTAGATGCTCCGATTAGGTTTTTTGCTGACAATTCTGATGCCAATCACTGCTGATCACCAATCATTGCCGATCTGGACTGGCTGTTAATTTTCCACTTTAGGTATAAATGCTACTATGTGACCTGGTAAAATGGAAAAATAATCTGGCAATAAATTCACCAGATTTAGACAAAAAACATGAAACATATTGCAGGCACAATGCAACATTCAGTAAAAAGGACAACTGAAAAACACCAACAACCTAATTTATACAAAACAATCAAATAAATCTCATAACTGCCAACAATTTCAAGTGAAAGAGAAAACATTCATTTTATGTCAAATGCAGGTTGCATTCAAATAAATAATCCTAAATTACTAAATCAAAACTCCCTGAGAGGACTGCTAATGGGCTCTTTGCAAGTACGACACTGACGTCACATCCACATGAGCAAAATGCGGATTTCTTGTTTCCGCTTTGAGTTTCCATGACAGCTAGAAAAGACAAAGTCCTATTTCAGATGCAGATAAAGCAATACTATGAACATTGTTGTCTTCCATATATAACGGGTTTTTAAGTTTTCATTAATTTCCAAGCGATCCTGAATTAAGAAGATAGTGGTTTGTAAATATTCGTCGCTACCAGTTAAAGCTAACGCCGCACAGCAAAGTTTCCAGCCTCCACATCACTCTGGATCAGCTTCTTCTGCCTAAAACTACCGGGGGGAGACGGATGGTAAATAAAGGAGCCTCCCTGAGTTATTTCCATGGAATCGCTTCTGTATTCAGCCTGAAAGAACGAGTGTATGGGAACGAGAGAGCAGACCAGAGCCTGAGAGCCCAACAACCTGAACACACTGCTGTAAACACCATCCTATTTGAGCTCTTCACAAGAAGCGAGAGCGAACTGGTGTCTTCCACCGCTAACCTGATGACTTCATTTTTCAGGAAATTTGCTTAGTTTCTGACCATCATGCTCATCTGGGTGAGTGTACATTTTGACTGGTGCACTATGAAGACTGAAAGACAACTTATTAATGTGCAAAAAAAGAGTTTGCGGGGATCAGATGTTTGTGTTTAATTTAAATAAAAACTTGTTTTTATTGTCTGATTCTTACAAACACTTATTGTTAGAAATTTAGATTCTAATTGTGTTATGACACTAACTGCACTACCGAAGGATATTCTGATGCAGGGTTGTAATGCACTTCTACAACCACACATATTTAATAGGTAGACAATCTGATTAAATAATTTAGTGCATCACCATTCACATTGATGGTGAACAGTTTACAGGGTAAAATATCCTGTTAGCTTGATGTTAACATAAAATGCTATTCTTTGTAAGGTGCTGCACCCGCTGTGATGAACCTGACCAGGCTCATTCTATTCTGCACAGGTACGTCTCATTTTATTTCTTTGTATTTCTAATATAAATGTATTAAATACTATTGTTTGGCCAGACCATGAGAGATGTGCGCGCGATGCTGTACCCGCTGTGATGAACCTGAGTCCTGACCAGGACATATTCTGTTCCCTACAGATAAACTTCGGTTCATCTCATCCTGCCTCCTGGCCATTATTCACACAACGCAGAACTGATTTATAAGAAATGAGCTGAGCTAGTACCCAACTACAATTATTGAGGTTACACCAGGAATCAACAGGAATTTTTACTGTTAATGCAAAATGTTACTTTTCATCTCTACTCATCTGACAAGCTGAAATATAACCAATATTGCTGCAAACTTTGCACAATAAATGTTAGAAAAACTATATAGGCTACCTTGAGAAAAACAATAAGCTGTTGCAACGTTACAAATGTTTTGATCGTAGTGAATATTTTGATAAGTGTGTCAGAAGCGGACATGCTGGTTTCAGCCTCCTGGCGGCGTTCAATTTGTCACCTACTGCCAAGATCAACTCAAAATCTTTGATCACAATTGACTATTGAGCACCCCTGTTGTACACATTTTTCAACCCAGGCACATGCAGATGGGGGGGGGAGGATGGAGCCCCTCACCTTTTTATCCTTCATGCCCCTAGTGCCCTTTTTGAGGTTGTTTTTTTTTTTCATTATGAAAATGTTTTTTAATCTGTCAGGAGACCTGCTTGTGCCCCTTAACAGTAATATGTAGCTAAATATAATACTTTAACAAAATAAATGAGTCTGGCTGCCCTCGGTCTCATAATGAGATTCTCATTTTCTCTGCCTCCATGTTGTTAAGAGCCAGAGGATCTGTGCCCACCAACTATCAAATTATGGGCAAGAATATTTTTTTCTTCAACATACACTTGTGAATAAAAATATAGGTAGTTAGAAAAACTGTTTCTATTTATTTTTCATAAATGTCCTCGCAATAGCAAGGAAAAACCCTCTTGACCCCCAATCACAGAAGTGCAGAGAAAACTTCTTACTTTAACTTTATCAGTGGTGAACTGAATGTCCGGTTCGCTACAAGCAGACTGAGTCAGTCTTACCGACAGATATAAAGAATATCTTTCTATCAGACATCCTGATATAATGTAACGGTACCGCAATTGTCATCTTGACAAACCACAGAGCCTCAGTACCATCTGCTCACTGTTCGCTCTCTGCTTCACCTTAACCTAATGTTACTACCAGGCAGTTCTCACCACTGCTGACGGGATCTGGGCTGGAGGTGAGCAACTGCGAATAGAAGTTACTGCAGAAGCTCATCTGCTAAAGAAAGATTCAGCTCATACCATTTGGAATTCACAAAATATCACATAAACATTAACAACAATACTGTACCAATAATGTGAACTGCAGCATAAAGCCAAACATCCCACAATTAAGTAAATCACAATGTCCCAAAAGCAGGGCGGACTGGCATAGAGGCTACCAGGAGATTCCAGGTAGATTCCAGCAGAGATGCACAGCGCAGCGGCTCGTTTTGGCCCCCTCAGTTGCAACTCTCTTATAATACAATGTTCAGACTTGGTTTCACCACTGGAACTGTTCTATTTTATCATTCTGAAGTGTTAGAACAGGGGTGGGCAGTCCTGGTCCTCAAAGTCCGGTGTCCTGCAACTCTTAGATGTCTCCCTGGTCCAACACACTTGAATCCAACAGCTGAATCTCCTCCTAACTGCAGTCAGGTTCTCCAGAGTCCTGCTCATGACCTCATTATTTGACTCAGGTGTGTTGAAGTAGAGACACATCTAAAAGTTGCAGGAGACCCTCCAGGCCTGGAGCTGCCCACCGATGGGCTAGCTGTTCATGCAGGGCTGGCCCAAAGCATTATGGGGACTTAATATCTCTTCACTTTACAATTCTAGATCTCTCTGAGGTGCTAACATAAAAAAATTACATAGAGTTAACCTCTCTGAGTTTTATTTTATCTTTAAAGCAGTCTGCAGCCAAGTTGTTATAGAGGCAAAATTACATTCACTTTGCATTGCCCCCACATGATGACAAATATGTAGTATGATCCAATTAAATATTAGATTCTTGATCAATAAGGTTTGTTGCTATGTTGTTGTATGTTGTTTTAAGATCTTGTTCAATGTGCCCCTTTTTAACTTTGAGCCCCCGGCCCTCCAAAGGTCTCTGCATGGTCCTGCACACTGGAATACTTTGCCTGACAAAAAAGGAATTTTATTAAATTTGCCAAGCCACTGTAGTTATTTACCAAGCTTCCTTTTTTAAACAGATTGGTCTGAGGATCCTAACTCTGAACTAGTGAGTATGCAGCCTGGTTCTTATCAGCCTGTCTCTCAGGAGTAAAGTGAGCAGAAACTCCTCCTGCTATGCATCTACAGACAACTGTCCTGTGATTATGATGGATTGTGTAAATCCCATCTCATTTGTGTATGCTTTATGCTTGCCCATATCAATTGTTCAAGTTTGGTTAACTTGCAATCCTGGACATTGGTTCTTTTCAACTAGGCAGAGCAGGAAGAGATGGACAAAGCAATAGATTTTTTTTATTTTTATTTTTTATTTTTTTTTATTTTTTGGGGGGGGGGGTTCGATTCTGTGAGAAACCTTATTTTCAGAGTCTTTTAAATGGTAAATGTCCTGTACTTGTGTAGCGATTATCAGGTCCAGAGGACTCCATCACTACATTTGGTGATTTACCCATTCACACACATATTCACATCCTTATGGCAGTGAATATGGCTTAACATTATAACTAATGACAGGTTAAGTAAACTATTCTTATCTAGTCACTTTTTCACTGTAGTTGGTGGGACATAGTAGGCAGCAAGTGAATATCTCCCATCAAATAAGATGTATATTAAAAGCAGAAGAAATGGTCATTCTTATGCTTATCAACATCCAAACTTGGATGATATACAGTTAAAAATGTACAAGAACGGAGCAGTGGGGAGATATCTAATTGTCAATCTGGTGTAGGTGTTCTAAACAAGTCTGATCCATGAAAGTCCTGCTATGTCCTGGTACTGTTAACATCTTCATATATCACAGCACACCTTCAAGGGTCACAGTGAAAACTGTGCTTCCATGGGTCTGCTTTGGTACTAAACATTTATTTTGCAAGTGGTCACAAAGGTCTACCTGATCAATTTAAATCAGCATTGTTTAACACCTCTT